CCAGGAATGTTGTTTCACTGTTTTTTGGGTTTTTTTGTTTAATACGCTTTCCAGCAAGGCGAGATATTTGCTTTCCTCCCTAATCCAGATTTTCTGCAGTGTATTTAAGGGGGAAATTCTTCACGCTTGTGATTTCTCCTCCACATAGGATGCTATCTAGAGGTACTGTTCCTGACAGCATAGTCTATTCTGAGTCTGACTCTGGGCTTATCCACACTTAACTTTCTCTGCTTTTTCTAGGCATGGTCTGTGATTTAAAGCTCTATATCTGAGCACTCCCCCCCCTCCCCAGAGCTTTTCCTGCAAAAAAAGCCCACTCTTTAAAGCTCAATAGGAACAAATGCCAATCTGTGGTAAACCCGAATTGACATTTGCTACGAATCAGCTTTAAAGAGCAGGTTTTTGTAGGTCAAGGTAAAATAAATCAGAGCATTAAAGTGTGGACCCTCGTGCCTGGAAAGAGTGGAGCAAAAGATAAGTGTGGATAAGCCCTCTTATATAGGTATCACCCATATTTTGTTCTTATTGGATAGCATTCAGCAAGTCTGCCATTTATACTGGCACTTTAAAAACTTATTCTTCTTGTAAAATTCTACTTTGCTGAAATTCTGGAGACAAATTCAAAGGACCACTTTGAAGGTAGGTATATTCTTATTATTACTGATGCTAAGAAGAGGGATCAGTTCTCAAGGCTTGGATTTTGTTCAGCACAAATGTATTCATTACTTAAAGAAGAGTTTAAGTGAAACACTTGGTAATATCCTAAGTATAAATAAATTCACAACAAGCAATAAATTAGCTTTTTCTTGAAAGTAAGACCTGCTGAAAACTGGTATTAGTTTTTTGTTTTGTTTTTAATTGAGCTGTTTGGTTAAATAAGAGAATTGAAAGAGATTTATATGAATCGCTATATATGATGCATTTAAACAACATTAATAAAACAGGGCAATCAAAGAATTGCTTGAGGGAGATTTTTGTTAAGATGATATTTTTATTTAAGAGAAATCAGGAGGAAACACACAAGCTCCAGCAGAGTGTCAGAAAACCCAAAGCAAAGCCCTTGTTGACCTTTATTTTATTTGCCTGGGAATTTGATGCAGGGAAAGCTCTGTTCTATAAGAATCCTTGTTTCGTGCTAGAGGGTCAATTAAGGTTTCCAGAGAGGCAGCATTTAAGTTTTAATAACTAGTATAGCCTTCTGAGAAGGAATATGTGCTTGAAAGGCTCTGAAAATGTGAAGAAGAGAGTAGCAAACAGAGTTTAGTGTGAAGGTTTTTAATGCAAAGTGTGACTGGGAGCAAACACTTTAGAAAGTGCAATCAAGTAAGGGGGAAAGGCAAAGAACAGTATTTATTCTATTATATCATATTATATTATATAATATAATATAAGAAAATGATCAAAGTGCTTACATTAAACACTTAGAGAATCAATTGCATGGAATGTGTTACTTAAAAGTGCATCTATAAACCTAATCAGTACTTTTTAATATAGGGAGAAAGATAGAGGGGCCCATAATAAAAACCCAGAGACCTTTTTCCTTTCAACTTCGCTAAACCTCTATAGGCAGCTTGTTCAAGTTTCACCATCACCTGCAGGTGGTCACCAGGGAAAGAGCTTTTTGAGTTGTAATGCCTTAGCTCTGAGCGCTAGTTAACTGAGTCAGCCAGCCATTCTGTCCTCTGTAATACGCCATTCCATTCGCCCTCCCCCTGGTTTTTTGTTCTTCCCAACAACTAGTTAGTATTCTATGCCTCCTGAGCATGCTCAGCACACATTGGGCTATTTCCCCACCCCCTTAGGGCTTATTTCCCCTAAAATGGGTTGTTGTTTTTTGCTGGGGGGAGAGAAGGCATTGCTTCTGCAAACCTCGTGGTTTCTCCAAAGCCTGCTGAGACAGATTATGATGATGATATTAATTTTATTTTTACCCCACCCATCTGACTGCTCCAGCCACTGCTTTGCGTAAGCAACAACACTCACCCCCAAACATCAGAAATAGAAGCAATGATGGACGTTTACAGTTACATGGAACCCTAATGTTGATTTACTGCAGTACTGTATAGTGCTGAGAACACTTTTCTTTTGCTTATGTGAACTACTTCATTTCTAAACAGTGTTTTCTGCACAGCTTGGTTGGACTTCCAGGTAGATTTCTTTCGTAACAAGCTTTCTTTGTTTGCTTTTTTTTTTAGCCAGTTGCACGCCCTCCGGTACCAGCACATCAGGTTCCTCCTTATAAAGCTGTCTCAGCCAGATTCCGTCCCTTTACCTTTTCTCAAAGTACACCCATCGGTCTGGATAGAGTTGGATGTAAGCGGCAAATGAGAGCATCCAATGGTGAGTTTCACAGGAGGCCAATGGAAAATAAACTTACAAGTTATTCAATGGTTGCTCTAATAAGTGGTGGCACCCAGATTGCTGAACTCTCTCCCAAAGAAGGCCTGCCCAGCCCCATCTACTCTGGCAGATTAGCCTTCCATTTGGATTTATGTTTACCTTATATTACCTTATTTATGGTTCTTAAAATTTGGGTCATCTGTATCCTGTACGGTTATTCTTTTTCATGGTTTATGGCATGGGTAGGCAAGCCAAGGTCCGAGGGCCGGATCCGGCCCAATTGCCTTCTAAATCCAGCCCACAGACGGTCCGGGAATCAGCGTGTTTTTACATGAGTAGAATGTGTGCTTTTATTTAAAATGCATCTCTGGGTTATTTGTGGGGCATAGGAATTCGTTCATTTTTTTCCTTCAAAATATAGTCCGACACCCCCCCCCCCAGGTTTGGGGGACAGTGGACCAGCCCCCTGCTGAAAAAGTTTTCTGATCCTTGGTTTATGGTGTTGGTTTAGGCGTATTTTGGTTAAAAAAATACAGACATACCTCAGAGATACTTAAGGTTCAGTTCCAGACCACCGTAGTAAAGCAAATATCACAATAAAGCAAGTTTAACTTGTCCCACAGGGTTGTTGTGAAGGTTAAAAATGAGAAAACTATTACAGCAGTTGTTACACTGAAATTCTTCATTTCTCCCCATGCAAAACCCTAATATCATCACTGTGAGGCTTATAATGGGGTTAGCCACTTCCCACAGAAAAAGACCATTGCTGTTTTCACACACAGATTTAAAACCCACCATTGCCCAACAGTGAGGATGAGGTGTGTGATGTCTTGGATGTCAGGTCTTGTTCCTTAAGGACTTGAATAAAGTCATGCTTTTGTTTGGCAACTTGATCTGGAATCTTGTGCATGGCTTAAATCCCACCAATGCAATGAGATTTAAGAGGCCCAGCTGTGTGCAGAATCATGCCTTGGTTTTCAGATGTTTGAATGGGATGGTCCCTTGATGTATCAGTCTGTGAATGAAGCAGGCATATGCTTTTTGTTCTCCAGCTGTGTTTATCAAGCAAGCCAGCCCTTTCCTGGGATAAGGATGGTTTTCCTAACCTAATACAGTGGTACCTCGGTTGTCGAACGTAATCCGTTCTGGAAGACTGTTTGACTTCCGAAACATTCGACAACTGAGGTGCAAAGGGAGGCCTGCAAAGTCAATGGAGAAAATTGGGGGGGGGGGGCGCAGCAGAAGCTGTTCAACTTCCGAGGCATGTTCAAAAACAGAAGCATTTACTTCCGAGTTTTTGGCATTCGAAAACCGGAATGTTCAGCTTCCGAAACTCTCAGAAACCGAGGTACCACTGTATTGTATTCCACTTGCTTTTGGACCACATCACCCATCATCCTTGCCTGGTTGGGACCAATGAATATTCGGAGTCTGATAATATCAGGAGGGCACAGGGTTGGGGATGGAGAAGCTTCTCAATAGCCATGATAGTTAAGTGAAACATATTTCAGTAGCAGTATCCCTCTGAATACCAGATTCTGAGGACGCAAGCAACTTGAAGAGGGCTGTTTCCTCTGTTCCCTGCTTCCTAGAGGCATTTGGCTGGCCACTGTTGGGATCAGGATGCTGGGTGAATTCTCAGTCTGGTCCAGCATGGCTCTTTCTACGTGCTCATGTCTGCTGATACAGAAGGACAGAAGGCGATATCTTCATGACTGGGCAACCACGTTCAAATGACAGAGAAATGCAGATTCTTATCAGCAAGAAGGCTAGAGACTTTGATTTAATGCCTGGCTTCTTGTTTTCCATTGCAGCCAGTGGCTTTCAGGAAGCCACGTGACTTCTGTGGCTGTTTGGTGCTGTTTGTGTGCAGCAGGGGCCTCCAGGGTCTGGGTCTTTTGAGCTGGTCAATAGTTTAAGGATGTGGGGGCTGGAAATGTCTCAGCTAAATGACCGACATAACTGAGCTGCATTGTCTCTGAAAAAGAAGCAAGACCAGAGTTTTGACAGTCATAGAAATGCGTCAGGCTGGTGTTGAATGCGCTTTATGGATGAGTGGAACGCTCTTTCAGTACCAGATATTACCGTATATACTCAAATATAAGCCGACTTTTTCAGCACATTTTTAATGCTAAAAAAGCCTGCCTTGGCTTATACTCGTGTGAGGCGGGTGGCTGCGGAGGTCCCTCCGCCGCTACCCGCATCTCGCAAGGCCAGGCACAGGAGCCGCGGCTGGGAGAGGCGCTGCACTGCACTGTGCCTCTCCCAACCGGGCTCCTATGCCTACTCTTGTGAGCGGCAGAGGTGGCGGAGGAGGAACGAGCAGCCCAAAAGTAGCCCTTTTGGGTTGCTTGTTTTTTCCCCTCCGCTTCTGCCACCACCAGGTTTGTGGTGTGGTGAACCGCCTTATACTCGAGTCAATAAGTTTTCCCAATTTTTTGTCCTAAAATTAGGTGCCTCGGCTTATTCGTGTCGGCTTATACTCAAGTATATACGGTATTTATTTTTTAATAGGCAATCCCAAATGCAGAAAGATAAAAAGGACAAGCCACACATATTAGGAATATAGGAAGCTGCCTTATACTGAGTCAGATACTTGGTCCATCTAGCTCAGTATTGTCTGCACTGACTGGCAGCAGCTCTCCAGAATTTCAAACAGGAGTCTCTCCCAGCCTCCTGGAGATTGGACCTGGGACCTTCTGCATGCAAAGCAGATGCTCTACTACTGATCTAGGACTCTTCTTCTTTTTAAATGCTTTTTATTGGATTTTAATATATAGTCACAAACATCAAATTCTTTTAAACACATTACAGAGATTATGTGCTCAGACATAACTTATACATATCTGTGCCTATAACAAAAACAGACTAAGAAAATAGTACAGTAATAGTTGGAGAAAGTAGCAACAAATGCACCATCATCTATAAATCATACAATTGACCGTTACATAAACAGAGAATTTATATGTGTACCAGTGCACTATTATAAAACTGTCAGCTTTAACTAAGTTCCCTTATTGTGTTAGGGAAGGGATCAGCAAGACTATATACAAGTCTTATTGTATTAACGAAATCCATTTATATGCAGGAGGTGGGGTTTGACCATGTTCTGTCTTGTTTACATGCATAATAAAGTTAAGCCACACTGAGATAAACTTGTTCTTTTTACTCTGACCTCAAGAAACCCATAATATATACATTAATTTCTCTAAAAAGGCTGTTTCTTATAATCTTATTGTACCAATATATGATATCTGCACCAGCAAGGTCCCTCCAGAAACAGGTAATAATAATAATAATAATAATAGGCCACTCTGGGCGGCTCTCAACAGAATATTATTATTAATAATAAAAGCAATAAAAGAGCAAACATTAAAAACTTCCCTAAACAGGGCTGCCTTCAGAAGTCTTCTAAAAGTTCATGTCAGCATCCTCAAACATGCTCAGAAGGGCAAGTTGGGGGAAGGGTACATCATGGTTGCCTGTAATTGCATTGATTTCTTGGAAAACAGGACAAACGATGGCTCTTCTTCATTCTGAGGTTTTTATGCCAGATGGGCACAGTACAAGCACTGGAAAGATACAAGTCAAGAACCTGCATGTTGCACTCGTGTTGCTATTCCCCATGCTGAGGAACAGCTCTTTACAGAAATGTGCCACATTCTGATGCGTTGAGGTCTGCTTGACTCAGCTGTGTGAAAGATGGCATTTCAGCTCTGGGGGTGGTATAGAGTCCTATCTCTCTCCCTGCCACCCCATCTCTCATATGCCACAGAACAGCTACGCTGTAGCTAAGATGTAAGTCAACAGGATGCAGAAATAGTTCCTGTGCTTGCTGGTGTATGCAGATGTAACATTTCCGAAGTGGTTGAGGTGGTTTTGTTACAGCCCTACTTTTCCACAGCACGTTTCCCACCTGCCCTGCTGTAGTCTATGCTTAAATTGGTTTCGTAGGCTTTTGGCACCCCTCAAGCTGGAACTGAGAAAACCTCAGCTCCTCCTTTCAGAAGAACCAGCAAGGCTCATTAAGCAGTTCAGTTCTTGTGGTTGCTTCTTGGAGCCATACAACTCTCTTTACCCCACCCCTCTCCCTACAGCAATTATGTAACTGATTTAAGGGGGAAGTTTTTTAATAAGATGAATGATGAACGTTATCTGAAGTAAGCCAAGGTGGAAAGAGGCCTAATCCTTGTAGTGCCTTGCCTTCGGATTATCTCCCTAAGGGTGCTTGCCTGGTGCTTACTTAAATGATTTTGGTGCAAACACTTTCCGCCCAACATTTTAAACTCCCGTGATGCTGTTACTCAGCTCCTGAAATTTTCTTAGCTCCAACTATATCATATGCTGCTGTGTTAGCTGCTACTTTATATACTCCCACTTTGTTCTGTTTAATTGTTCTTTTTCTGACATTTCCATCGAGCTGTCTATTTTAGTGTGGCTTATTAGGCGCCTTCATTGTACTGTTTTGGACAACTACTAAAAGTTTAAGCAAGCCTATTCAGACATGTCATTGAGTATATTTAACTGTTGATTTTGTGTGTGTGTGTGTGTGTGTGTGTGTGTGTGTGTGTGTATGAATGACTGCTCTTTTAAATATATGTTTTTATCACTATCTTTAATGAATATTTTATACTATTTTATCTAAACAGCATAGGTTGTTTTTTTAAAAAGTGGTATATAAATCTTGTTAAATAAGGAAAAATAAAATGACCTGACTACACTATTATCAGAGAATCTGTCTATAATCTGGGTGGGTGGAAGAGACCTTTGCTGGTACAAAAGCTGCCTCCCTATTGGTGTATCTCTCTTTTGTGGGGTAGCTATGCTTGCAGCATCTGGTCTTAGCTCATGTTGGATTATAGCTCTAGCTCTTGGGCCTGGCTCTAACTAGACCTACCTGGAGATTAACCAGGAGACCTACTCGGGAGGTACCTTCTCCCTGGTACATTTCTAGCTGCTGTACTTAGGCCGCGATATAAGGAAGCAACCTCGAATATTGAGGAGCAGGAGAGTAAGCAGAAAATTGTTGAGAACAAAGCTCAGAAGAAAGGCCTTAAAAAAATGGAGAGGGTTTGGCCTGTGGGGTCAGCTGATAGTATTCAGGCCGGCTGGCACTGCAGATTTGATGACACCCTTGACCCACAGCACTCAGCTTGTCAGGCCTCCCAAGGAAGCAAGAGGAAAGGGAGCGTGGTTCTTGATGGCCAGTCTTGAGAGAGCATGCACACAAAGCAAGCACAGTGCCATATAACCACCTACAGGGAGTACCTGCGAATTTAGCATTTGCCATTTATATTCTGACATAATGTTCTGGCTGCACGATTTGCACCAAGTGATGCATTTTATTTTATTTATTTTTACATGTAGTGGGGGAGAGAAGACTCCAGCAATTTGCAAAGGAACCTTGGAGTTAAAAAAACAAACAAACAGCAGGAGGGATTTATCTGAATGCACAGCAGAAGCCTAATTGAGAATAACAAGAATAAATCTGCACTATAGGCACTTAAGTCCTGAGCTGGCTGTGCATGCAGTATGTGCATGAGAGCTGTGTGTCCGCTGGGGCAGGTGTTTCTTTTTTATAACTTCCTCCCTAAGCCTACCCCATGATGCCAACAAACTCACAGCTACACTGAGCAGGGAGTGAGCTGTCAGTTTCCAAGTAGCTCTCTGTCCTGAACTGCAGAAACAGAAGCTCAAAGCGATGAATAAGCTGTTTCTGCATTTCCAGTCGATTGCAGCCTCTCCCTGGTCCTCCGTGATTTTTTTTTTTAAAGGACTAAGCCTTACATATTAAAAACCAAGCTGTGCATTGTGTATGGTCTTTTTTTTTTTTGGATGGCAGGATGGTAGCCAGAGGGGAAATGGCCCGGTTTTGGAGCCTGGAAAGCCTTCAGATAGGTATGTTTGAGTAGGAGATAAGCTCCATTTATTTCCTATGGCATTTTATGTTTTAAACTGTTATAATCATGGGGCTTGACTTGGTTTTAAAATAATGCTTATACTAGCAAGACTAGCAGTTGGACCAGCACAGGAAGAATAAGATTAAGTACTACATCAACTTTTGGATTTCTGACATTCCATTAGAGAGATAAGAATTGCCCATTCATGTCTGCATTGCTTACTCCAGGCAGTAAACAATAGAGAAATGGCTACATAGAACAAGAGATGAAAAACTAGCTATACAGAATCCAAGCTTACATATTGCAAAGGAAGACTCAACTCCCCGTTGGTTGTTTTTAATAGGTGCTTCCTTTTAAAATATCTGCATATAAGTATTCACAATTTACCGTGGCTTTAAAAAAGAAAGAGTGGGGGATGAAGCTTTCCAAATGCAGCCTTAGGCTGTGTGTTCTTTACAGATATTTATGAGAGTGGTTTTCCAGTGTGCCTGCATTGTAAAAATCTGCATTCTTGTATAAGTTGTTCAACTTTCATTTATGTTTGCAATACTGTATTTTGGGAATATTTCCTAAAAGGGAAATTTAGGAAAGCTCTTATGATATAGTTGGAGATTTGGATAGTGCATTTTAAATAAAGTTTGAAATTAAGAAATAGTGTTGATCAGAATAGACAGACTTGCCTTCCTAAGCAATGAGGTCTAGAAGGTAAATCAGCTCACTGTTTAAGTTGGAAAATTAGGTCTCCCTTAAAAAAAAAGGCAAAGCCTTTCAAGTTCTAAAACCAGGACATGGACAATATGGGTGCATAGAACACCCTTTTTTCTAATGCTGTGTCATCATGAGAACCTAGTGGCCAACTTTTGGGCATACCCATATAACTGCCACTCTAACATAGTCAGTACTAAGCTCTTCTTTGGTTTGGTGTGGTTTTGCCTCTACACCAGCCTTTGCCAACCTCCAGATGTTGTGGACTACCACTCCCATTAGCCCCAGAACAGCCAGTGGTCAGGGACAATGGAAGTTGTAGTCCAAGCATATGGAGAACACTGCTTGGTAAAGGCTGTTCTTACTATTGAGCCTGAGAGCCAGCAACCATATAGTTATAGCAAGGCAGGTAATACAGGCCTGGCTCTCAGGCCCTCTGCTCCTGGCCTTAGCTTTCCTTGAAGTCCAGCTACCTCTGCTTCTTGTGGTACCTGTGCTACAGGTTGTGTCCATCCATGATCTAGCAAGTCAGATTGTACTCAGTCATTACACAGTTGTCTGTTAGGATTTGCACAATTGCATGCTAGTAGAAGGCAAGAACTCTTCTTATTGGGATTACCAAAATCCTATATACAGTGGTACCTCGGGTTACAAACACTTTGGGTTACGTGTTTTCAGGACCACAGGAAACCCGGAAGTACCAGAAAGGGTTACCTCAGGGTTTCGCCACTTGCGCATGTGCAGAAGCACTAAATCGTACTTTGTGCATGCGCAGAAGCGCCAAATCGCATCACACGCGTATGCAGACATGGTGCTGCAGGTTACGAACGCTGCGGGTTGTGGACGTGCCTCCATCACGGATTACTTCTGCAACCCGAGATTCCACTGTAGTATGATAATGTGATTTTAAAAGTCACATTCCTCCATCCCTTGAGGAAAAGAGTAAGAGTTCTCTAAGCTACTTGCAGTCACCCATATCCATATCTCTGCTTGGTACGTCTATGTATTTCTACATTTGGGTTAACCACCACCCTTTCCCAGCTGGAAGCCTTTACAGTGCTTTCACCTCTGTGCAGCTCTGTTGGTCCTGCAAAAGCAAGTGTGGTGTAGTGGTTAGAGTGTTGAACTAGGA